GCTCATGCTCATTCATTCTCTCTCTCAAAATAAATAAATAAGCATTAAAAAAATAAAACATTCAATCTATCTCCAACAAAGTTATATTATAATCTAAACCACAAGAGATAAAAATCAGTATTTATGTTTACATTAATTGGTTGAGAGAGAGATTTTATGGATTCTGATCTAAAAAAAATTTTTTTAACGAATTTGTGCATAACGAATCTAGAAAATGCACCTGTAACTTCTTAGCAGGTCATACTCTTCCAGCCCTTTTAGGAATTCCATTTTAAGGCCAAGGCCAAACACAGAATTTAAGTTTATCAAATTACACCAAAGCTAAGATTTGAAAAAGGATAGATATCCTGAGCATAAGGATTATGGGATTAGAAAACCCATTTTTCGGGGCGCCTGGGTGGCTCAGTCGGTTAAGCGGCCGACTTCGGCTCAGGTCACGATCTCACACTCCGTGAGTTCGAGCCCCGCGTCGGGCTCTGTGCTGACAGCTCAGAGCCTGGAGCCTGTTTCAGATTCTGTGTCTCCCTCTCTCTGACCCTCCCCCATTCATGCTCTGTCTCTCTCTGTCTCAAAAATAAATAAACGTTAAAAAAAATTAAAAAAAAAAAAAAAAAAGAAAACCCATTTTTCCCAGATGAGATTTGAGGATTAAATAAAGAAGTGCAAAACGAGTTTCTTTCTGGTGTAATTTGCCCCTATTATCTCACTCTGAGACCAAGCTCATCCTAGGCTTGTAGCAGACAGATTTGACACCAAGTACTTACTTCTGACATCTGGAGATCTTATTATTGAGGGGCAAGAAGTGTGAGGAGAGATGTAGGTACTTTCTGCCACATAAGTATTTCATTTATGAAAAGCCTGTGGCCTGTCCATGCTAACAAGAGAGGGGTCCATATGGAGGTGTTGTTCTAGGCTCCCATGTAACTTTAAGGAAAACTTGCACAATGTCCAGAGCCCTTGACGTCCTGCAAAGGGAGGAGGATGTCCTCTAATTCCTTGCAGCAGAACTCGCTTAGATGACACTAACATTGACTTCCAAACAGAACAGTACATCTACCGAAAAGAAAGTGATGGTGCATTACAAATCTAGAGAGATCTATGAGAAGCTTCTGCC